CCTGCTCTGTGCGTGACAGGGGGGAGCTCCCCAACCCCCAAGAGAGGGGCCTGCTCTGTGCGTGACAGGAGGCAGCGCCCCAACCCCCTGATTGGCCCTGCAGGGTACGGAGCCCCAACCCCCCTGATGGGCCCTACTCTGTGCGTGACAGGGTATGGAGCCCCAACCCCCTGATGGGCCCTGCTCTGTGTGTGACAGGGGGCAGCGCCCCCACCCCCTGATTGGCCCTGCAGGGAACGGAGACCCAACCCCCCTGATGGGCCCTGCTCTGTGCGTGACAGGGGGCAGCGCCCCAACCCCCTGATTGGCCCTGCTCTGTGCATCACAGGGGGTGGTGCCGCAACCTCCCCATTGAACCTGCCTTGAGTGTGATAGGGGGTGGTGCCCCAACCCCCCAATCAGCCCTACCCTGAGCGTGACTGAGGGTGGCATCGCAACCTCCCAATCCGCCCTGCTCTGTGCATGACAGGGGGCGGCGCCCCAACTCCCCAATCAGCCCTGCTGTGAGCCCGACCAGGGGCTGCACCTAGGGATTGGGCCTGCCCTCTGCCACCCAGGAGCAGGCCTAAGCCAGCAGTTCATTATCTCCCGAGGGGTCCCAGACTGCGAGAGAGCACAGGCTGGGCTGAGGGACCCCCCCTTCCCCCCCGAGTGCACAAATTTTTGTGCACCGGGCCTCTAGTGTATATATAAAAGCCTAATATGCAAAGTGTCCCCTTGGGAGTTCCACCATTCCCAGGAGTTCAGTTGCTTGCTATGATGTCATCTGATCATCAGGGGGCGGCACAGAATGAAGGAAGGTCCCAGCCGGCAGCCGGGAAAGGGAGGCCCTGGACGGCAGCCGGCAGCGGCTAGGAACCCTACCTGTGCATGAATTTCATGCACTGGGCCTCTAGTTACAAATAAAGTCCTCTAACCACTGAAAAGATAATGCATTTAACACAATTCAGCTTTAAATGAACTCTATTTAAATTAACCACACTATAATAATCTTATACAGGGACTAATTGATATGAGTTGGAATTTTTACATGTTCATTTGACCAAAAAAAAGCTGTTGAATGCCTAATAATTTCTATATAGTCAGGCAGAAGAAGGGAGTAAAAACTATTAAATCATTTCCTCCTGGTCAAAGGGATCATATAAAAGTATACAGCAATTAACTCTTGCTGAACATATGAACCAGATGTGGAGTTTTTAAGTAATACTGCTTCCCAGAGCTGACCTCAGAACAATAACATCAGAATTTCTGGAGGTAGTTTTCTGGCACTGGTAGTTTTTAAAACTCTCCCAGTAATGAGAACCACTAATTCAACACTGATCTCAAAATCATCCATACTCATTTACTTCATTGCCATTTCCTGGTTTTCTTATGCTTCAAATTATTTGATGCTAAATTTTAACATGATGATGTTGAGACCACAAATGCTTTAGCTTATGCTGATAAATTAATAACATTGGGTGTGGGAGTGTTGTGGTTTTTTTTGTTTGTTTGTTTGTTTGTTTTTTTGCTGTTGCTGCTTAAATAACGCTTCTTCTGCTACATCTGTTTGGCTGAGGAACATCCTGAGATTGTAGGATAAGCTGTTTTTTAAAAAGTTACTATTTATAACTACTCAGCTATGTGAATCAGGATTTTCACATTACAACCAAAAGAAAATAAAGAATAAATTGGATACCAAGATTCTATGGCCTTAATTCTTAATACCAAAACACTCCATTTTCACTGACTTTGAGCAAATGCTATAAATCTGCACTGAGTAAGTCTTATTAATGAAACTCTCAAACTATGCAAGGATTTCTTCTGTCACAACTTCAACAGCATTTAAGCTCCACTTGAATATCTCCTAAAATGAGGGCTCACTTACTATGTGTTAGGTATCTATTTCTGATATATGGCAGAAACATTTTAAAAATCCTTTTCTATACTAATTGCAAATCTGCTTCTCTATACTTGCAAATTGCAGGTCCAAGATTCACCAATAAAGTGTCATAAAATAAATTCTATGCTATATCAGGCTTTCAAATATTTGAAGAGTTATTACATCTCATATTATCTTTTCTAGGCAACCCTCATTCATCCTACCATATTCACCAAAACCAATACAATTTCCTAAAATGTATGTACAAAGTAAATGTTGTTTGCTAATACAACACTATTGCAGCACTGTTAAAAACTTTTAAAATTCATATAATGGACATAAAATGAAATGTAAATAAAATCAACACCGCCAACTCCATAGTGGAGAGTACTTTCATTGTAACCCTGGAAACACTCCATATGAAGCTAATCCTGCTTCTGGTTGAATCTAAATTCTGCTGGCCTTAAATTTCTTGTCTCACATCTTTCTAGTGACAAAGAGTGGTCTTTGCTAACAAAAGGTAGAGTCCAGGACAGGGCTGTAAAAACTGGAAATGAACCTAAAGGAATTATGGCAAAGAAAGTATATATAAGACAAACAGTAATGGAGGATGTTTTCTTAATCCAATAACTAACTACTATCTTTAAAATAAAATTAGAACATTATTCTGAAATTACCAACATAAGAAATTTAAGTTAATTTTTGTTTCCCTAATCTCAGATTCATAAGCACAATTCAAACATGGTAGATGTCAATAAGAACATAAAATCTTGAACATATCAGAATATTTGTTTAACCATGTATTTGTAGTGGTTACTTGGAGAACAAAAGAACAAACTTTTAATGCCACTTACCAGTAAGTAGTACTACTGCATGTTCTCCTAACCAGAAGCACAGTGTAACTTTTCATTAACACTTCCCATCTCTACATTACTATATACTACTGCTGTATTCTATATAATGAGAGACAACAGCATACTCAATGGCAATTACCAATCAAGAGCCACATAAATATGAGCTGCTTTTAAAATGAGCATACATTACACTGAGATTCAACAGGAAGTTTCTGTTTAAACACAACTTATACTTTAATATCAAACCAAATTCACAAATATTAGAAATTTTCAATGTTCAATATACTGTTATCTTTTAACCTTTTAAAATGTTAAGGAAAGCAGTTTTCTTTCTGGATTATTTATTTTTTATAGATCTGTGAAACAACAGTCCTCATAAAAACAAAATACTTTCTAGGAGCTAATGGAATGTCCAAACATTTACTCAATCCTGAACCTTAAAAATCTTTCAAGAAACGTTTTCTCTTAATTTTCACTCAAGAAACAAAGTGAAAAAGCAAGTTTGAAAATGTACAAATATTTAATGACTTATAAGTGATCAAATGTTTAATGGTCTCAATTATGCAACCTTAAATATTTCAATGAACCCTTAAGCCAAGAAGGCATAACTCTTTTACATTAATATTTAAAATTCAACTACTACATAAAATATTCTTGAAGGAACTGACTTAAGTAGCTCATTTAAAAGGGAGGTAAAATAAAAGGTGTCATTGATGTTATACAGAATATTTACTCACTCTTGCCTTCAACTTCAGGTTCCTCTAATCCGGTTTGCCTGGGGGCTACATTAATTTCATCAGGTGATTGCAATGTTTCCACAGTGTCAGGTGCCCCAATTACATCATCAATAGTTGTTTCCAATAAGGCTGGACTATCTAGCAAATCAATATTCGGAGGCAAGCTGTAAAGGTATCAGAAAACTTATTTAGACCAAGAAATTTATTATGAAAAGAATTTAAAATACTAAGAAAAAATCTTTATTGGAAAAAAATTCATGTAAGAGTTTATATTCCAACTAGTTTATTCATCTGTCAAAACATTTTGGGTAGACTTTTCTATCAGCCAGGATGGAGTAAATGGCACTGGATTTAACGTCCTACTTGAAATAACTTAACAAGGGGAAAAACTGTTTTCAAGACATCAGACATCAGAAAGCAAAGGACAGTGACTCTGAAATTCGGGAAACAAAGAAGGTGAGCCCTACAGTTGCCTTGAGAGAATTTCCGTGCCATGGCGCAGTGGGTGCAATGAGGCACAGCCCAGAGGGATGCCCCTCGTCTCTTCTCAATAAGTAAGATGGGGCTGGGAGTCCAGGGAGACCACGGCAGCTAAGTTCGCAGGACAGGGTACCAGACAGGAGAGAGCAGCACTTCAAGGAGGGAATGAATCCTGGAGATGTGCAGAAGGTCCCCCTCTCAGGTATTCAGCAAGTGCTGGTCAGAGAATGCATGTGAGGAAACTCTCTGAGGCTAGAAAAGAACTATCCAGAAGGATTTCCTCCCTCCCTCCGTTTGGCTGGGGAAAGTACTAGTGGCACTCATACTGGATCAGAGTTCCTGTTTCCATAGACTAAAAACTCATAATTCACAGGGCACTGAGTATTTAGGAAGGTCTTGCTTCAATCATGGAAAATAATTAACTCAGACTAAGCATGGCAATAGGCCCACCTAACCCAAAAAATCAAACTGTTTCTAAGTAATTTAACTACATCCCAAAACAAAGTTCAAGAAGTTTTAGAGAAATATAGAATTATCTAGCATCAGGTAGGAAAGTTAAATTTGTTAGGTGAAGAACTTGGTAAATTGTCAGACATCCACTCAAAGATGACCAGGAATGCAAACACATCCCATGTTAAAGAGAATAATCAACCAATAGAAAATGATGTTAGAATTAACAGAGAAATTCATTAAATAGTTATTATATGTATTCCATATAATCAAAAAAGTTAAGCAAAGACATGGAAGATATAAAAAAGACTCAAATCAAACTTCTAGAGATGAAAACTACAATATCGAAAATGTAAAATATATTAGATGGGATTGACAACAGATGATAAGTTAGATAAGACACTAAACTAAAGGCGTAGCAACAGAAACTATCCAAAATAAAACACACAGAGATCAAGAATCCCCCAAAATGAAAAGAATAACATTTAGCTGTGGGACAACTTCAAGTAGCCTACTGTATGGATAACTGGAGTTCCAAAGTGGGGGTGGGACAGGACAAATGTTTAAAGAAATAGCTGCCTAAGTTTATCAAGATTTAATGAAAACTATTAGCCCACAGATGCCAGGGCTCCTCACACAGGGCACACCTTGCTGGGGCTGACCAGCAGACCCTGAGCAACGGATGAATGGATTACCTTGACAGTTTCACTGTGAAAGAGAGGCTAAGGGATGGCCTGGCCAAAGTGACCAGGCAGCCTCGATTGCCTGCCTCATTAGGCTTTTATCGGATTTTTTATCTTTAGATACAATCAGGGTGAGTAATTTTGGGAGGACACATGTGTTTACATTGCACTCTAGGAAAGGGCATCCGGGAATTAAGCATAAGGATTCCAATAAACACCTGGGGGTCTGCATATGCACAGACTTGTTTGGAAAGGTCAAGGAATAATTAGGGGCCCCACCGTCCACACTCCCCTAAGTCTCCCCTAAGTGGGAATTCCAATAAACAGGTCAGGCGACCTTCCACACACTTCCCTTTTCTTGGAATATCCTCCCTACAAGCTTTCCAACCAAGTCTCATGCTTCCCCACACACAGATCCAAGAATCTCAACAAACCCTAAAGACAAGAATATGAAGAAAACTACACCAAAGCATATCACAATCAAACTACTTAAAACTAATGATAAAAAGAAAATCTTAAAAACAGCCCAAAATATTATGTGTTCAAATAAAGATATTAATGACAGCTGATTTCTCATCAGAAACAATACAAAATAGAGGACAGTGGAGGAACATCTTAAAAGCACTGAAAGAAGAAAGAGAGAAGACAAGATGGTGGCGGAACAGGCAGACGCGTCCCAAGGCTTGTCCCGGAGCAAATAGAATGAGCAGCTGAAACTAAGAACACCCACCCCGAATAGACGAAGTATACTCAGCTGGTGAGACAGTTTGCAGCCGGGAAGGGCAGAGTTCCCCTGGAAAGATAAAAACCAGGGATCTGGGCAGGAAAGTTTGCCAGACCTCCGAGCCCAGAGGGTCAGAGGGAGACCGCGAGGCACACAGCCGCGTCTCTTGGGACAGGCACAACCCCTGACTGTAGAAAGGAGATCGCGGGACTGTTGGTGCCGGGGGATTTGAGATCTGGGTTCCATAACTACGGAGGACTGAGCCTAAAGGGAGCAGCCTGAAGCGCTGACCAGACCATGCAGTGCCGGTAAGAGAGGAGCTTACAGTTTCTGCGTTTCTGCGGCCGGCGTTTGTTTGTTTGTTTTCACTGAACCCTGTTCATAGGACATTTCGGATACAGACACTCACCCGTGCTGAAGAGTGGGAGAAGGTGCTGACGAGTGGAATCTGGGAGAGGCTGGGAAGAGAAGGGGGTTCAGGAGAGGTGGCAGCAAATTGAGTGCTGAGTCACCCCAGAGCCCAGGACTTGGGCAGCCATTTTCTCCTGAGGATATAACTACAGGCCCCAGGCAAGGAATACAGCCACACCCAGATTCCACCCTGAATGGGTCGAAGGATTAAAATAATCTGATTAATCCCTGGGAGTTAACAGGGTCTGGCCTATAGAGGGGCTTTCAGTCCCAGCAACAACAACAACAACAACCAAAATCACAGACATTCCAGAAAACTGGGATCTTAAGCCAGCCAATGGAATGATATTTCAATTTTTCATTTTTATTTTTTTATTATTATTTTGTTAGCTTTTCTTTTTTTGCTTTTTTCTTTGTTGCTCTTTTTTTTCCTTCTTTTTTTCTTTTTTCTTTGTTCTCCTTTTTTTGTTTGTTGCTTTATTTCCTACTTCTTTTCACATTATTTTTTCAACCACGTGAGCAGCAGACACATGAGCAGCACGCTCTTGTCCAAGGAACATCAGCCTCGTGAGCAGCCTCATGTGGCCTGCCCCTGTCCAAGGAGCAGCAGCTGTGTGAACCGCCTGTTTCCCCGTCCAAGGAGCAGCAATCACGCGAGCAGTCCGACCTGTCCAAGGAGCAGCAGCCGCACGAGCAGTCTACCTACATCCGAGGAGCAGCAGCTGCGCACAGCCCACACCCTGCACTAGTCCGAGGAGCAACAGCTGCTCAAGCATCGTGCCCTCGTCCAAGTAGCAGCAGCCGCACGAGCAGCCTGCCCAACCCGAGGAACAGCAGCTGTGTGAGCAGCCCGCCCCCATCCGAGGAGCAGCAGCAGCCCACCCCGGTCCGAGGAGCAGCAGCCACACAAGCAGACCGCCCACGTCCGAAGAGCGGCAGCCCTGCGCAGCACGCACCAGTCCGAGGAGCAGAGCCACAACAGCCTGCACCTGTCCGACGAGCAGCAGCCAGGTGAGTGGCCCGTCCCCGTCCAAGGAGGAGCAGCCACGCGTGCAGCTCACTCCCGTCCAAAGAGCAGCAGCCGCGCAAGCAGCCCACCCCCGTACGAGGAGCAGCAGACTTGCAATCAACCTGTCCAAGTCCTAGGAGCAGTAGCTCCACAAGCAGCCCACCACATCAGAGGAACAACAGCAGCGTGCAGCCAGCCCCCATTCAAGGAACAGCAGCCACGTGAGCAGTCCGCCCCAGTTCAAGGAGTAGCAGCTGCGTGTGTAGCCCGCCCCCATCAAAGGAACAGCAGCCTTGTGATCAGCACACCCTCTGTCTGAGGAACAGCAGCTGGGTGTGAGGCCTCCCCACACCAGCCAGAGGAGCCACCATAGCTGTGAACAGCACCCACCAGAGGAGCTGCTGCCAACTGAGGAGCAGCTGCTACCACAACCACCCGAGGAGCAACCACAGCCCGAGGAGCCACTACCACCCAAGGAGCAGCCCCTGAAAGACTCAACAACTAGATATGTCGGTGAGATCAAACATGGGTAGACAAAGAAACCCCCAAAGGAAAGAAAAGGAGGACTCACCAGAAAAGCAGCTAAGAGAAACAGAAGCATGCAACATGACAGAAAAAGAATTCAGAATAAGGGTCCTAGAATGCATAAACCGGATGGAGGAAAAAATCAACAACTTATGCAAGAATCAAGAAGAAACGGATGAAAAAATCAACAACTTATGCAAGAATCAAGAAGAAAAGGATGAAAAGCACTGAAAGAAAAACTCTCAACCAATATTTTATAGCCAGCAAAATAAAGCTTTAAAAAGCAAAGAAAAAGCTAGGTATACAGCAAAAAGAAAACACATTTGCACAAAAAGGTACACATAAATGTTCATAGCAGCATTATTCATAAGAGCCAAAAGTGAAAACAGCACAAATACCCATCAACTGAGGCAAGGATAAATAAAATGTGATATACCATAGAGTAAAACACTAATCAACAATAAATGGAGTGAAGTGCTGATATATGCTGTGACATGGATGACCCTTGAAAACATGATAAAGAAATCAGACACAAAATACCACATATTGTCTGAGTACATTTATATGAAATGTCCAGACTTGGCAAATCCATAAAGACAGAGAGTGGATTTGTGGTTGCCAAGAGCTGGAGGAGGGGTCAGGGAGGAATGGGGTGGTGTTTTACTGCTGTGGTGTAAGGTCTAAAATTAAGTGTTACCTTGACATCCCTGCCTTACAAGACCCCAAAGGACTAATCACAAGTGCCCTTGCTCTCACCAGATATGCCCTCCCCCAATTCATTGGAAAAAGTTCCCCATCCAGCCAGATCTGATATCAACTGTACCACCTGCATTCTACCAGGTTCTTTTTTTTTTTAATATATTTTATTGATTTTTTACAGAG